TATATCCAGATATATCGATTATTTTGCCAAGATTTGTAGAAAGCCGATCTTTTGAGTTATCGACATAATATAGACACACACAGTGCCGATTGGACAGAATTCCTCCTTGTTTATCTTTTTGGTTGAAGCATTAGCGTCAAAGAAAAAGAGCTCCTGTATGCTTTAGGACATCGGCATTCCACCCTGATAGAATAGAAATATTTTAACCAGGCTTTGTAATACCTATATATTCTATTCCCTTCTATTTAAACAAAAAGTCCAATAGGAGTTGAGACATGACGGTTTACACTTGAACGTCGCCAATAACACACGTATTGAAATCTATGCATTTTGGCCGTCATGTGTCATAGGCGAAAACTTTGATATTATTCTTGTGTAACAAGCAAATGGACCACAGTAGGCGGTCCAAAGGAGCAAAAAAGACGGGACGATTGAGACATCCACGATGTCCGATTAGCTTAGTCGATGAGTAATTAGACTGGTGCTTATAGTGCTACTAGTCTATACGACTTCTTCATTGCAAACCTCGCTGGTGCACTTTCTTGAAAAACTCAGGTTCCATAAAACGACTTAGATAAGGGAAATGCATGAAGAGAAGAGACATATATCCAGAATGTGTGAGATAAAGGATAAAAGATGAAGCTCTTGGCGTTGACCACTCCCTAAGGGATGTGCCATACATTCGACTTCAATAAGCATCGTTGGAGGGGACTGAATACCTATCTGGTCTTTATAATGACTCGCAGCGGCGTGACGATGTATCGAGACGATGGTGCTGTCCTCCCAGACAAGTCTGGTACCAATTTGCCGACTCCGGAAGGATGAAGACCGGTGAGGCTGGGGCGCATGGAACGACCCTACATATATTGTAGGACGGCTCTGACCACTGCGCTACATTCACCCCTGTGTGAGACTACAGACAAAAAGCATATAAAAGCAGACTATGGTTAGAGATAGTGTTCCAAATTGACGCAAAATTCCATAGAAACCATGACTGGCTAGCTATAATTTTGGGTGTCGAACATCCTTACAGATTGTGTTTATTGCAAGTTCATGTGTTCCGCTATCGTCAAACTCCACGTACTATTCCATCATCTCTTTTCTTCTCTGGTGCGTGGCTAGCCCTACGGTCACTCTCAAAATTCACAAGGTCGTTGTTTCGATTCCGCATCTTTCAAGTGTCGGTAAATTCACAGCAAGTTTTGTCAGAGAATATGCAAGATAAGAATCGCTGTTCAGTTCCCAATATGCGCAACAACGGGAATGGTGAATTACCACAACGGGTTGAAATGGAAGTAAATCTATGATTACAGGAATATTAAAGATACGTTAAATAGTTGCTCAGAAAGTAATGGGGTAAGTGACAAAGGCCAGATGCTAATGACATGATTCGAAAAAAGAAGAAGCATCACAAGTGATCTTTTCAAATCTTTTCTCCTTTTCATTCTTTCTTTCTTTCCAAATTTGTCCACAAGTTTACTGTAATGTTCATCCGTTACTTCGCGAGCCACGTTCTTTGGAAAGGCTGCAAAGGATACTCGTCAATACGCGGAGTTAAGTTAAGCACAGGAAGCAATTTTGTTTTGAGAAGCTTCATATTTGTTCTCAGACCATTTCTTCAACATCAACAACTGTAATAACTAGCTTTGTTCCAGAAAAGAATCCGCTTGTAACAATATATGTAATAAAACTGGAGATCCCATTAAAGAGAAAAACTATTATACAAAGTGTAAGAAGAACGATGAGAATCAACATAAACAAATGGGCTCGAAGTATTTCTACACCGTAAAAAAAGATTTATTCTTACAACAAGTTAAGATAGATATCACAACATACATGGAATGTAGCACGTAAAGAAAACAATACTGCTTTAATTAAACACCACTAGGTTTAAATACTTAGAAGTTAAAGTAACAGGAATAACCTTACTAAGGAAGACTGGCTCCTTCGGACGAAAAACCTAAATCCTCAGTCAAATCATTAACACTTCACACAAAAAAGCAAGGCTGATAGATGTCCTAGTGAACAACGTGTAAAAAAGAAAGGAACTTGAGCACATTTTTTCCAAATATTAGGTGGTCAGGTGTTATTTACCATCAGCAATTCCCTAATGCCAGCTTAATTCCACACATAAACCTGTCAATTAAAGATCAGAACCACGTATCAACTGCCAAATGAACCACACGTTCTATCAATTTAGAGACTCTCAAGGTTACCCACACTAAGGAATGCTAACGAAATTGGGAAAATTTCCTACAACGCGTAACATCTGAAACTTCGAAAAACTCATTCAATTATGCTAAGCGTGAGCTCCCAATCAAACTACACTATATATGAGTACTTTTGCAAGTACTCTACTTGAACATACGGGCTCCTAAATTTAACATCTCATAGTCCTTTAAAAGACATGGACGACTATCTCAGCTATTCCACCGATCATAGTCATACCCCATTTCCACCAACCAACAGCCATTTCAGGAGTTTGTCGACGGCTCTGGATGAGATGCCGTAACTGACGCAACGTTTCCGAGTTTTGGTGCTCTCCTGGAAACAAATTGCCGCTCATCAACACTACCATAGCCAAAAAAGCAGCCATTCATTTTCTAATTAGTGACCAATTCAAATTACTTCTTTTCCACTTAACTCACTACCCCGTCATATCTTTTTCGTATAACCTCAAAACACTGGAAGAAGCACATAGCAAATAACTCGGTACTCTTTTGGTGATTATTATTTTATTTTAGATGTGTGATAAACAAAAATAAATAAACAGCTACAAGGCCTCAGCACACTAACCCTAAAACAGCTCGCAAAACAGCAACGCTGCGCAGGGCAAGGATTCCGGAACTCAAAGTTATTCCTAGGTCGACTACATTTGAAAGAACTTAAAATGACTTCGAGTTTCAAATCACGTGCATCATCATCGGAGGGTTCTATAAAGTGTCTGACGATGCAAGCAAATACTATCAAGGACGAAGTTGTTAGACAAGCCGAGACAAGAGAAACCCCAAAAACTTCCTAAACCAGGAATTACCAAATTCCTAGCTACGATTTGTAAGAACAGTTATCGAAATAAAGAGTACATGTGGCTCAACAAATACCTTCACGTTAGTGCGAGGAAAGACAAGAGCACGAAAATCACCAATAAACAAGCACTCATCAATACATTCCTAGAATTCGCCAAAAACACGACCAAACTCATTGCCCTCTAGCACCTAAACGGAAGAAATGTTGCATCCAACGTAATGGAAGAAGTCATCCATAACTTCCACTTCAAGCTTTTCGCCAGCCAAATTCAAGTGTCAAAGAGAATAGATTTGTCATTCCAACGGTTACTGCTCCCCAGGTTCGACATAATACCTCGCAGGCTAACCATACACCAACAGTATGGACACGATTAGTCCCGAACATCTGAAGAACCTATATTTAGTCCACGTCAATAAACTAACCCGCCAACCATTTATCACTTGTCAGAGAGCAAGGTTTCTAACCAAAAGAAAATGAACAGGATTGTGTTCTTAGGCAGAAAGGGAGAGCTAAGAAACCTCCGATTTGGATGCTCTTCTGTATACCATATCTTTACTCAAGCTTGCTCGACAGAAGTAGTTTCGAAAAAGAGTTAAAAAAGAATAAAAACTTTATAACAGCTTCACAACCGAGGTATCTATGATGATATCATTGCCATATAAACAGCGAACATCGACAAGGCGACACCGTACTGCAAAAATATTTGCATCCGTAATCGAAAACGTCATGATAACACCATAAGAGAAAAAGGACAAAGCTCTCGGCGTTAATCAATCCATAAGGGATACGTAACGCATTCGACTTTATTAAACATCGTTTCGAGAGGATTGACGCATATCTGACCTTTAAAATGACTCACGGTGGCCTACCGATGTATCGAACCAGTGCTGCTATCCTCCCACAAAATTCTGGCACCTTGGCGCCCTGTACGGATGGAGAGCTCGGTGAGTCTGAGGCGCGGAGATCGATCCCATGTGTATTGCAGGGTGCCTCCGACCACTGCGCTACGAATGCCTTCTATGTTAAGACCATAAAATGGTAAAATGGGAGTTTAAACCTAGCAGCTACAACACCTTTTCATTGCTGCTCAAATCTTTCTTATAATATTAAGCATTATGAAAGTGGAATGATGACATGAGAAACGATTCGGTTTCGATGCCGCAATGACGCCCAAGGAGATTATTCCTCCGGAAGCTCTATTTTAGCAGCAGTCACAAAATTAAACAATTTAGCTCTACAGCATTACAAAAAGAAAGGTATTTGAATATCGCGTTATCACAAAATCCGATTTTTCGACGTTCGTGAACGGTCAGGGATCAGATACACTACTACATACACCGAGACATCGGAAATCATGTGACCGGGGTGTGTAATGCATCTTAACGACAATCAAAGATGAAAATCCATAAGCAACTGAGTCACTCAGAATGTCAAGCGCATAACAGGAGAATTACTGGCACGATGGTCAGAATTCCTTATCGAGATCCTAGATGAAACTATGACTTTTCGAATCCTTTTTTTGGATAACCTTGACAACGACCGGAAACTGATGAATGCTCTTGCACACAACCGAGATAAATGGGGACTTTACAAGTTTCCGTTTTAATCTCTCGATCAACTAAAGGACAAAGAAAACTGGTAATCTTGTGAATAAGCCTGGCGCCAAGCGACAGCAAAAAGCAACGAAAAAGGTCCACTTCCAGTTCTCTTGTTACAAGATGTATTGATCGGACATAAGTACTAAAATGTCGTCATTAGTACCCTTTCTCACGCAACAGCTACAAAACGGATTTACCATACGTGCCAAAACCAACGCATACCACGGTAAACGTGTTCACATGTACCAACCAGTACGAGCCATATACCCAACACCCATTATCAATCCACCTTTTAATGGAAAACCTCCCACTTTCACCTAGTGTTGTCTGGCGGCCGCTCAAAAAACGTCCTAAAATGGTCTTTTTGAAATCTATCAGATGTCGAAAACAAATCACGGATCACGTCTGGTACAACGTTTGAGCTAGATAAGTCAATGATTTAATACAAAAAGCAGAGTAAATAAAAAGCTTGCGAAAAAATAAACCATCGGAAAGGATATGAATTTGAAAGAACACCTACGGTAACCTTTGTGTCAAAATTTTCAACAGATCCTTTCGTATGAGCTTGTTAGCTCCGCTATGGAGACTAATAATCCTGAGGAGGATCCAAAGATCGAGACAGCATCATAGATAAAAACGGTACTAACACGTGTTGGCGTCCTAAGGCGTTCCACATTTTCTTTTACAGAAACATAAGCAAAGAAATGTTGCCAATGAGGGGTATACTTGCTGTTCCTACCTGAGCTAAGATGGCATGAGTCATACAACACTCATGGCATGGGTGCTCAAAAGAGATCATTCTAAGCAACCATCACATGGAACTAGGCGTCGGGAATTATTTAAAAACTATCATGAAGAATTTTAACTAGATGGGATCAAAAACCTTACAGCTATTTCCTTATAAAATAAAATTTAAATCAAACCGTGAGCATGATGGGCAGCCACAGCTATTTCAATGTTATCAGTATTTTCCGGATCAGAAGGAGACGCGGCAGACTGAAAAATTTGTACTTTCGTACGTAGTAGAATTATAAAGGCGCAAACTACTTTGTAAATTACTTGATTCAACCACACACATTTTCCAAAAGAATCCAGAATGATCGGTGATCCGGCATTTCAAATCCATAAGTAAGGAAAACAAAATATGTTGTTCGGCGCCCAAATTCTTCAATATTTATGTTGGTGAAAGACCACTTCACCAACTCATAGCCAGACAGCGGAGTTACGTGAAGAGACATTTTATCGTAACCACCTCTTAGCTAAAGAATAATAATTGTTTACAATTAGAAAAATTGACTTAAAAAGAACTATAGGTGCAATTAAGACGGATGAAAACCAACTTTCAAATGCAAGTCAACGAAAATGCAAACCAACAGCTTGGAGGCTTTTAATCAATACATCTTAATCGCATCCAAGTTTTACTAGCTCTCACCCATAGGTTATGTGAACCGGTATACCAACTAGCAACGTTGTCTAGCTCCGAGTGTTGTTTCAACCACATGGATGCGGAGAGATGAGCAAAATTAGGAACCTCAACTGAGTTTCGAATCCACGATTACGCTTTCTGGGTTTCACGTACTAACCACTACACCGACCGAGGCCCGTGCCTTGTCTTTTCCTCAGCCAATTTGTTTTACTCTAACAGTGCTATCAGCAACCAACCGCCTACAGGAACAATCTGACTAGAACAAATCGGCTATTTCTATTTCAACTATTTTGCATGTTTAGTTTCGACGTGTTTCCTTCTCAACGCTTGTCTTCCGCAACATAACAAAAACTAGACACCCTACCACAAAGACATGCTTTTACTTCTCATTGCAGAGGATTATACCACTTGCTATAATTTCAGTAAAACACTGAAAAAGGATTTCCCAACCTCGAAAGTAATATTCAGTCTATTTCCAACCATCTGAACACGATCTATCATTGTTAGTTTAATAGGATATGGGATAGGAGCTTCGGATGGCACAGGAACCCATAGTGAATGTCTTAAACGTTTACATACAGTTATTTTCCCTCGACTAAACACATGAAAATAAGCGAGAATTTCAGACTTACTCAGGCGGGAATAATTTGTGAATAGCCGTATAATAAGGCAATCGACAGTATACATCCTTTACACCTGTGCAATTTGGCGGTGTGCTACCTTGTAGGAATGAATGTACTGGAAGATCTTCAGCACCTCTGCATGAAAGTTCATCAGTTTTCAACAAAAACAAAGAACAGCTGACAACTCTAGTGCTACATCAATGCAGGACGATCCTCATTATGTGAGTTACAAACATTGCTATATTCGGCCAAACCTTAGTTGTAAAAATATACACCTAGATAACACTGATAGAAAAACTCGTTGAATCTAAACACTGCCACCACACATTCACAACAGCAAGCAACTATAGAACTAAAACACTTTAATGATGCTGAGATATTTGCAAAACTACCGAGCGCAGGTGTCTGCGGTAGGGAACGAACGCACTATTGTCCTTTACGGGGAGCAACGCGTTCACCACCACACCATGCGGGTACTTCGCTTCGCCTGTCTCGCAGCTAGTTCTATCGATCACTTCCCATCAGCAATCACCCGTCATCGGGATTTATTTGCGGAGCCCAAATCAGCATTGAACCCAGTTAAGCTGAGGCTTTATAACGTTGACGAGTGACTGCTGATAGCACGTGATCGATAGAATTAGCTGAGAGACAGGCGAAACGAAGGACTCGCATGGTGTGGTGGTGAACGCGTTACTCCCCGGAAAGGACGATAGCGCGTTTGTTCCCCACCGTAGACACCTTCGGTCCAGAGTTTCGCAAATATCTGAGCAACATTAAAATTATATTCCGCAGTATATACCCTGCCGTTAAAAAGAGTAGGCAATAAATAATAAGTTAAAAATAAGTTAAAATTGTGATCAGAACTAAGACAATTCGCCTCAATGAAAAACAAAGAGACACTTCACCTATAGTCAAGAGACTGCACGAACAGACCATTGTCTCTCTGTATAACGTCGCCCTTGAAGTTGTATATAGTTCTATTTGTATGCTAAAGGAGAGACAACATCCACTTAACACAATATAAAATCACAAATCATTTGGATAAAATGAATCTTATAAGGAAGTATATGCATGAATTAGAAAATTACCAGCGCCACGATCCTTCTTAAGCGCGGGTGATCCTCACTGTATTCGTAAGGAATTCCTAGTCTTGTGGTTACAAGGGCAATAAAAAAGAAGACAAAGACCGCACATCCGCATTTAATCAAATAGTTCATTCGACGAGAAATGTAGAATAAGTTGTTCTAAAATAAACCATGTTCATCCTACGAAAACATAACGAAATGTTATGATCTACGTATAAAAAGGAAAAATGTAAAACCGTGAGATGTATGGCCAAAACCTGTTCTAATCCTACTAATAAGCAATAAAAGATCATTTTATTTCATCTTATTTTTCACAACAGCACATGTTTTGCGGATCACACCACATCTTACACCAGATTCGTTTTCTGGCACCTCTACTCCACTATGATCTTCAGATTTTCCGTACAAGTCCCACTCCTGTTTTCTGAATTTTTGTCTTCTTTATTAAGGTCTTTGAATGCTTATCAAGCTGATTCTTAGAGCATTTTCAGATCTTAATAAAAGACAGTCAACACTCTTTGAGGATTGGAGGGGTAAGTTGATCTAAGACACTCTGGTACCAAATCCTTACAACGCAGTAATGGGGACTTAGTGAGAAAGAGAAGGGTTCGAACCAACAACTTCCTGTATTAGACAGAACCAATACCAATGTGCACTATCAATGCTAATTAACACGTTCTAAATAACCAGATGTGATACAAATGGGATCAATCCCCGCGCACCAGGCTCACCAACTCTTCCATCCCTCCTGTGTCGGCAAATTGGTACCAGACTTGTCTGGGAAGTTAGCAGCACTAGGTCGATACATCGGTAGGCCACCGCGAGTCATTGTAAAGGCCAGCTATGCATTCAATCATCCCCAACGATGCATAATGAAGTCGAAAGCAAGGTGCATTCCTCAGGATTGACCAACGCGGAGATTCTTTAGCTTATAAATAACCAGATTACACACATAGAAACACCCCCAGTAATATTGCATTTCTATAATTCGGAAACGAAATTAAGCGACTCACAAGAAATAATACAAAGCTGGATGCGATCGTAAATCCAATAGATGCCATGACGAACTCAGGATTAACAGCGTTTCCCAATCTTCCCATAACAGGCACGAAAAAATCAACGCACTGACTAATTGCATACAGTGCGAAAGTGAATACCGGTGTGAAACAAATGAGTTGGCTGATCAGTATAACACGTGGAGTCACTCCTAAAGTCTCAAATAGTTTACACTTTTCCATTATGTTAGAACGCAAACTGAATTTGCAGACGTTTTTCAAAATTTGCCCACACCAAAATTAAACCATCCATGAAAAAGGCGATGTAAAACTTACTCTCCACTAAACCAAAAGCACCCACTGCAAAAATTAACGGATCCTTAAGCAGAGGAAACATAACGCAGTTGAAGATGAAGAATGCTGAAGCGACATGAAACGACGTCAGCACGAAAAGCACCATTGCATATGTGATGACTATACTGTCATACTGCACCATTTCGATATTTCGAACCTAAGCATGAATGAATACAAGTAGAGGAGAACAAAATTTACCACAAGCACTAGATACATAACGCATTAAGATTTTTTAAATAAGTTCCAATGCATAATAACAAGATGTGCCTGATTTAGACCTATGTTTAGTAACACTGAATACAAAGCATTGAGAACAAGTTCGGCATTTATATCAGGAAGAATAGCTAATAGTAAATCAGTACCAGGATCGAGCCCCATCTTGGAATCATACTAGTTGCACGGTGGCAAATCGCCCTTGGTCCACAAGGGTTGCGGCTGCTTGGTGTTGTGACGACCTGGGGCAAACTTTGGCCAAACTGACCTCGGGACTCCGGAGAACCACAGTGGCTAAACCAGATAAACTCCCAAAAACAGAGGTTATGCTGGGGGCGCATAACCAGTGAGGACGGGCTGCCTAACCAAGTAAAAGTACAAAGCAAAAAGATGACAATTTAAAGTGAAACAGATCCGATTCCTTAATCACCTCACCTTGGTTTTGTCGGCGAAAAATGTGTGTACTGTACATCCAGCAATCAAAATCGGCAACACATACAACGGACCCACTATCTCAGGAAGCTTATACCTACACCATTAGTTCTTCGTAAAAGTAAGACGACTGAATGGAACGTTTTGAAACTAACCAGCACATAACGAGATCGAATTTTAGAACGAAGACAACAACAACGATAGATGACAGAATCATGGCAAAAAATGCACATATATGATGCCAGAAGGCCAGACCGAGATCATTTAATGAGTAAGCACCTCGTAATATACGAAATGATACTAGCAGCAGCACCAAAGCACATGCACCGTAGTTAAGAACTTGACCTGAACTAACACAAATAAATAAATAGCGTCCATTAACTTATTAAGAATTCCTCGAAAACGTAAGAAAAGTACTTACCAACTGAAACCGTATAGAATATAGTAAACAAACCAACTACATCATAGAAAACCCATTTATTCTGTTCATCAAACGAAGCTGCCTGTACTAAATACGGACTAGCTAGGATTGCACGCACCACAGCCAATATGTTTTCCCCAGCTCTAAAGTAAGGCTTAAGAGAACCAAAAGCGATAATAACCAACCTAGCACTCAGCTGCACAGTAACAATAACAAGTAATAAAAATAAAGATCTCGGTGTTGATCAATTCCTGAGGGATGAGTCCTGCATTCCACTTCTATAAGCATCGTTGGTGGTGAATGAACGCATATCTGGCCTTTACACTCACTCGCGATAGCCTATCGATGTATCGAGCCAGTGCTGCCATCCTCGCAGACAAGTCTGGTATCAATTTGCCGACACCGAAGGGATGGAAGGGTTGACGGGCCTAGGGCGCACGGATCGATCCCACGTATATTGCAGAGTTCCTGCCACCAATGCGCTATACGGGCCCATAACAACAAATGATTAATCCTTCATAGGACACTCACATAGTTTGCCACGATACAACTCGAATTCTATAGCCCATATTATGCTAAGGTGAAAATTTTAACCTCTGAATTGCACCAGCTTCAATTCTCCACTCCTCATCGAACTCTGTATGATAAACCCAACCGTTTTTTGTGTAAGCGATATCAAGCCCTGAAAGAAATGTAGCGTTTGGTATAATTAACCACGAAAATACAGAAAACCACGGTTTTCATACCAGATATACGCCCATAATCACGAAAAATTCGAAAATCCGTGTCCGATGGAATTATTCCTGATTGGAAGATCTCCTGAGCAAATACACTACAAAACGGATGTGGTGCTGATTCCAGATAAGTCTGAAGAAGCCATGAATTTCCTGGACCAGCCTACAAAGCACAGTTTTTGTTCAACTCGCAAGACAAATACGAACAACTAGCAAAATCACGATTTTTAAAAACGCTCTGCACAAACTCCAGCAATTTTACCACATCAGATATATTCTTTCATAACGATGCTGAGAATCTTTCACTTCATCTGTTCTCATAAGGTAGCAGATGGGTGAGTGTTGCGCAGTAGTCGGAGGATCCCTGCAATACAAATGCGATCGATTCCCGCACCAGCCCCACCAAGCCTTCCTTTCCTCCGGGGTCGGCATATTAGTACCAGAATTGTCTGAGAGTATAGCAGCACTGGGTCAGTACATCGGTAGGCCACAGCTAGTTATTGTAAAGTCCAGATGTGTAATCGGTCACCTCCAACGATGCTTGATGAAGTCGAATGCATGGACTCGTCCCTCATGGATTGATAAACGCCGAGAGATCTAATCCTTTCATCCTTTAAGGTCGCAGACCACCGAACTGCATAAAGGATGCGTCCTGTCAATTTTCTTATCCTAAGGATATTTATGAACTAATCGTGTGAATGCACAAACCTGAAACAGAATTTCACGCCCACCAGATCCAGTACCTTCGAGGTTGACGAAAGCATGAATAGTATGTCGCCAAGGATGATTTTCAATGAACCCATGCGAACCTTGCAAGAAGTTTTCCTCGGCTAAACAATGAAGTGAATAACAGTGAACTGTGCCGAAAAGAAAAAAAAAAACAAATCAGGTCCTCACCACCGTTAAACAGGAAAACAACATCATTTTTTAAGGGTTCTTCAGAATGCGATAACACATTCAATACATCCATCATAATGGCACATGATACCTGGATGAACCTTGTAAAGACATACACGTACAAGCTAATAGTATTTCAAATCAGCTAACATTTAGTGCGACACTTCCACTAAGACAAAAACCGACGTCTTTTCATTACAGTGCCTACGATGTTCTGAAATAATGCAACAAACCGCATCATCTGTGGCCCCAGGAGTATCCGGCATGGTATCATAATGGCAGTTCAGCAGCAACGCCTGATTTGTCGGCCCACTTGCTGGACCAATACGAACAACTATGTTGGTGATTTTGTCGTAACATAGAGTAAAACTGGAGAGAAATTTCAGATCGAAGCATCCAGATGGGCGCTAAAGCGGAGAAAATGTTTGAAAACAATCTGACTGATAACACTTGTGATCTTTTAAACCGAAACAGAAAAGAATATTTAAAAGACCTGTACGTCGAGCTCAAAGCGATTCACGCCTTTGGATATAGTTGTCTGATTCACCATGCCAATATATCGCTGCATGATCTTGAAGGCTTTGTGCTAAAAATAACTAGTTAGAAGAATTTCCGACCCCATTCTCCAGCAAGTACGATAACCTACAAAACATATAACGCAGGCAACATATTATTAAAAGATAAAGGATAAAGTTCCCGGCGTTGATCAATCTCTGAGGCATGCGCCATGTATTCGACTTCATTAAGTATCGTTGGGGGTGAATGCCCTCCTCGTGGTGGTCTACCGATGTATCGAGTCAGTGTTGGCCAGAGGGATGGAAGGCTTGGTGGACCAGGGAAATGAGGATCGATCCCATGTGTGTGTTGCACGGCTCATTCGACCATTGCGCAACATAGATTACAAACATGCAACTACCTCCAGTGCAACGGAGCCACTTGGACGAGGACCAAGAGCAGTAAGCTCTCTCAGCAAATTGCGAGCACGTTCTTCACTAAATTTCGAGGGATCACTGGCTCCAAACACTGGTGGCATGCTCCTGAATGGACCAGTATGAAACTATAAAACCGATAAAGAAAGTGTTATTGAAATGGAATCAACTAACCTATGAAGATATACTACACCTCCGTAGATGATACCAATTACCGTAATCACTAAAATCCAGTGTTTGAACCCTAGTGCCTCCTTAAATGTTGAAAATTTAGTTGGTCATCATGCACCTACCGAAATGCACCATGTTTCATTTGAACCACCAAAGCATTGATATCTAAGATAAACGGTAGCATGGTCTCATCTTTACCATTTTGTGCTTGTATTTTGCATATAAGAACAATTTGATGCGACTCGATTGATTTAAAGCATTCCGTTACTTATTTACGTTCTCTTTAAAAAGAGTTTGTTTACAACTCACAACTGAACGACGAGACTTATCATCCACCACTTCGTACTGTCGCCCAAAAGAATTGTTGACCGGTCCAGCGGCCGTTCTCCGTCGTACTTCCATCTGTACTGTAGCACACTCCTACTCGAAGAAAATTACACTCTCCTTGGTGGTAATCTGATGAGATCCAAGAAATAATTTCTGGTCCATTCTTGTGTAAATTCCGTACACAACCATTGACATCTGACTAAATACAACTCGGGTTATCACGATCCCAACCCCGGATTCCTTTATTGGTAGGTCGTACAGTGGAGTAACACATCCAGCATTAAGTATCAACTCTTTACCAAAGATTTACTCTTAAAAGAAAGTACCCCCACGAAAGCGAATGGTAGACAATTACTCCAAATCCTAGAGATATAGGTTTCTTGACCCTTCTTGGCAAGCCATACTAATAAACTAAGCAATCGGCAAGCAATATTTTTCCTTCAAAACCACACCATATAAATCTAAATAAGGAACTGGAATTGAACCACATATAATGACAACATCCGAAACAACACAATGATTCTGTTATTATTATTACTCTGACAAAAAAAAAGGAAAAAAAAAGCAAGGAAAAGCAGGGAAGAAACGATTTTATTGACGTGATGCGATCACAACTAGAGTAGAAGTAATGGTTAGATTTTCTTACGACACCCTAAAACTACAAAGATTATAAGATATGATTAGAGAGATGCTTAACAAAAATCACATTCATATGTGAGAGGTCGAATCCACATCATTAACACAACGTTCCAATCATATCTTCACAGGTGAAGCATTGTTTAACATCAACAGCACAAAAGTGTGGACAACAGGATTGATATACAGTTTGAACGAAAATTGAGAAAATTTGTACGTTACATTCATTAGCGACGATCCCGCCTGAAAAACATTACTAACAGATGGCAAAAAAGAAGCGAACCAACCAGATAAGGTCTAACGACAGAAATCCATCAGAGTTAATCTTCACAAGAAAAAAATATGGTGAAAAAAATTGTTTGGACCTAATTTATATCACCAACACACATTCGGAGGGCGCGCGTGGCGCAGTTGTCGAAGGTGCAATACACACGAGATCTATTCCCACGCCCCTCGTCAACCAAGCCCTTCAATCCTCCAGGGTCGGCAAATTGGTACCAAACTTGAGACGCGTTATCGAATGCGCAGTCGGACGATGCTAGGAGTATCCTATTCCACACAAGTAAGGAATGGGATCCGAAGCACTGATCTGTGTCAACGATCAAAAATCAAAGATGCCGTTCTGTATGCCAACCAGTAGAAGGTGGGCCGGACACGTAATGCGTATTAATGACAACCGATAGACAAGGGCCGTTAGTGACTTTTTCCTCGGGATGTCAAACGCACTGCAGGAAGACCACCGACCCGATGGTCAGAGTTCTTCACAAAGAGCCTTGAAGAAAGATATGATGCTCGACGAGTCCCTAGAGCGATCAGAACCAACCAGGTTACCCATGCACGCGACAGGGAAAAATGGAAGATTTATTGGCGCCCGCTCGAGTCACTCGACGATCAACGGGACTGTGGGTGATACAGATTTTTCCTCTACTGTTTATTCCTACGTGTAGCCTATAAATAATAAATGCATAATAACATGGGTGCGTGTGGCGCAGTGGTTGGAGGCACCCTCCAGCACATACGCGGAGTCGATTCCCGTCCTAGTCCCAACTAGCCTTTCCTTCCGGAATCAGCAAATTGGTACCACACCTGTCTGACAGGATGGCAGCAGCTCGATACATCGGTTGGTTATCGTGAGTCATTGTAAAGGCCAGATATGCATTCAATCACATCCAAACACATCCACAAAATGCAAATATTCCTATGCTTGTGTGGGGAAGCAAAGTGACAAATGCAGCGACATCAGTTCATTTCCTTTATACCCACCATACAGAAGTTTTTCCTCCTATACTTTTTCTCATGTGATCAATAGCTTTTACCAAACAGCTGTTTTCTCTTACGTAGGGCCAAGAAGAACCTGCATTCTGCATTAAGCAGTTTACAGAAAACCGTTTATTTTAAGAGAGTATTTAATCCACAAAGGACAGCACGAAACTGGTGAAAAGAACCACCCAACACTAAGTGTGCTGTTGGTGAGAAAACCACAAAGATATCTTTGTATGTGTGAAAAGCGAATCCGATCATTAAGGAACACTTTTCTACTATAAGGAGATTTTAATACACTGAAGATATTTATATAGATGTAATCATAGTGTAGACGTGCAGTTCATCGCATTCACCAATGTACTCCAACAAAGTGTCTTTAGACAAAGACATATAAAGCCCTATTAATTCTTTATTCATGAAGCTGGTTTTCGATAACTTGACGATAATTCCTTGATCACTACAGTATTTAACGATTTAAAATTCGATTTGCAGATATATAGAAGAAACTTTGCTTTGACACAGAAATCGCAGACGCAATTTTTATTCAGGGTCCTTCCAAATTTAAATGTTTAAAATCAGGATTTTCAAACAATTAAACGTGAAATTTACAAGCCCTAAAATCTCCACTGTAATAGCACACTTGACTCTTGAATGGCCCGTCCTCACTGGTTGCGCGGACCCCAGCATAATCTCCATTTTTCGGAGATTTGCTTGTTAAGCCATTGCGGTTTACTGGAATCCCGAAGTTAGCCTGGCCAAAGTCTGCCCCAGGCCTTCACTACCACAGGCAGTCGCAGCTCTTGTGGATGAGAGGGAGATTTTCCACCATGCGACTTTGATACCAATACGGTAGTGGGTCCTGGTATTGATTTACTCTTAGCTAGACTTCTTGATGGAAACGCCGGACTCTCTATCACCTTAGGAGACCCTGCCAAGAGATGAATCGCTGCTGTACATCGCAGTCCGACACCCAGGAACACCCAGCTACGATTAAGCGGTAAACTGTTCTAAGGACTGTAACAGCAACAGCTGCAAAAATGGGACCTCCACGGTGCTTTTAGACGAAATCCCGAATATTCACTTGCGTTTATGTTTTGCATATGAGGCGTAAAGAAACAACGTGTAAGACTCCAGAAAAATAGAACTTGATCGTGGCAAAACAAGAGAACTTCTATCCTGTAGGCATAGAGATCTTTACAGTTTTTGATGCAATGAATAGAATTTACCAAGAGTTGGGAATGTATTGATTTAAAGTTGTAAGCGGCCATTAGTTAGGCATTGCACGACTCCTAATAGAAGTGAAGCCCTAAAAAACTTTGATGTTTCAAAATTTGCGCCAAAAAGCATTTCTCTGAAAACCGAGCTCTCCTAATTCATGGAAGAAGAGGAAGTAATCTGGTCAGGCTTCCATTTCTAAACGTTCAAATCAACCTATCCTAAAACGGCTACAACACACTGGTATCGAAAGTCAAGAAGTAAGAATGTAGTAGTTCACCACCTCTCCTCTCATCCCTCACACATTAAAGGGCGCTTGTAGGAAATATGTTTCGAACCGCTTCCAGCGTGTGCACAGGTAGAGATCAGAGGGAAGAATCCTCGAAACTGGCGTGCCAAATAGCCATTTCAAATGGTTACGAAACTGTAGCTTTTCGGCGTAGGCATAGAGGAAAACGCACGCCCCAGAGCGACAATTATAGCGAAAATAAAGCTCCGTTCCTCTTGTCCTTTATTTCAAACGAAATAAGTGCAGCCTTAAAACGTTGCTTAATAAAGACCGGTTTAGAGAATTCCGTAAGAGTGATTGAAATACCATCTGACACTCTAAGACGCCAGCTAGTTAGCAACCGCCTATATGACCGTCTATGTATAACGAAAAACTGCATAATTTGCCCTAACGGTAAAGACGATGATTGCATGAGTTCGGGCACAGTCAATCTGATCTCTTGTAAAACGTATGGGGACGAATAAATTGGTGAAACGGGTAGACCGCTCTGCATCCGCCTAAAAGAACACCCAGTCGGTAAATCTAAATTGAAACAAAACACTCCACTAGACGCGCATAGGATGCAGGAACGCAACGGAGAAGATCTCGAAGTAGGAGTCACTATCCCCACGCAGGAATCGAAAACATCAGCGCGTAAAACTCTGAAGCGTTTTGGATCAATTCCAAAAATTCAAAAGTGAACCGCAAGGAGGAGTGTCTTGTCATCACTCGTGACCTGGCGCCAAAGCTCAGGCTAATCCAATGACCTGACACAGACACAGTCATTGCCCATGTATTACTCTGTGCGGCTGCTATCCATCAACATTATCCATTACAACGAATAAACGGTGTTTAAATGAAGCTGTTTCTTATGCGAATAGAAATTTATTTGTTAAGTTTTATCTGCTGGGGTTATGAAAGTGTTTGGCTGAGTAGATCGCATCTCAATTTGACCTTTCCAGGCTCTGAAGAAAGCGAAACCGCCGAAACGTCAGCTATTGTATCCTAATAAATCCTACAATAACAACCTCGTGTCTGCCTATTGAAGAAAAACATCGAACAATCTGGTCGTTTGTGTCCACGAACAATTTAGCCTGATTGAGGTATTGGAGAACATGACATTTGATAAGCATGCGGAAAAAATTCGTTATGGGAATACATCATAGGTAAATCGCAATCACTGTTCACTTTTTACTTCTTTCTCTCAATTCCTCTGCTAGTTAAATCATATCGTCTTCTTTCTACAAGACGCCAAGACGATAGTTCTTCATCTTGACCATTCTAAGTTACGGAGATACACGTATACCAATTACCAGCGTAAAGATACCAACAACATTATTTGAAATGACTTATGATTTAAGGTCGCGGGTAGCTGGCCCATAAGCCCACCATCCCTCTGAGGTCGGAAAATTGGTACCAACCTTTTCTGGAAAGATAGCAGAACTTGCACGATACATGGGTAGGCCACCGCTACTCATTATACGGGCCAGATGTGCATTCAGTCACCCCCAACGATGCTTAATGAAGTCGAGTACATGGCGCAACCCTCACGGATTGATGAACGCGACATCTTCAGCCTTTATATATATATATATATATATATATATATATATATATATATATATATACATATATATACATGTTGTCCATGTTATTAACACACTCGTATCTGCTTAAGAAATAAACAGTAACTTTTTAAAAATCGAACTCAATTTTTTGAAAAATCTAGCTTCAAACGAATTTTATAGCTCAAAGACTTTTGTAAGGACTGCTATATGCACGCGATGGAGCAAAGTCTCTTCAAGAAGACTACTGAGTTCCCAACTGCGCATCTTTGTTAACAGTGAAAATACTGTTCGTTGTCGACAAACCATCCTCATCGCGAATATGTTAACCCATAACGCCCTTTATAGACACTACAATGTTCACAGCGAACTGGACTAAACGATCACACAAACTCCATAGTGTCATTTCCAGTTTATTACGTTCGATAGATAGATATAGATAATCGAAAGCAGATCAAAACAGTAGAGGTAGGATTAGAAGAACTACTCTCTACACGTAATGAATCGCAAAAACCTTGCTTTGAGAAAGTTCGTTGACCGATAATTTGACTAGTAATTAACTGTTCTCTCACTTTAATCGCTATCGCCATCGTATGGAATGTGTGGACATGGAAAACACAGAAGCGGACTCAATATGGGGTTCAACAAATTTCAAACTGCTGACAGCAATGCATTTGCATGATAATATACCATAGTACTTGGACATTTGCCGTCTTCACTGGTTGTGAGCATAAAATTTTTTCAGAGTTTTGCTGGTTTAGCTATTGTGGCTCCCTGCAGTCCTGAGGTTAGCCTAGTCTACCGCAATGGACCACAGCAACACACAGTAAATAGCAGCATGCACATCATTTACACCCATAAAACGACAGGGTAACGTCTCTTCTATAACGCTTCCGTGTCCATTGTTCACAACCCCTAAAGCACCCCAGTTGTACAAAATTTGTTTTTCTTTTTTAAAAAACCAGAAAGACCGCAGTCAACGGAAAACTGCTCGTAATCGGTTAGGCAAAACACGAACGGCAGCTGGGTGTTATGAGTTGATGGGTGATCAGAGAACGAACTTTTGAGTAGGAAAACATTGCGTAGTAAGAATGTACCTGTCTCTATCACGCTCCCTATCTCTTCCAGATCCTCGGCGGTCATCACGATCTCTATCCCGACGACGATCACGGTCACTTGAACGTGAGCGACTTAAGGAAGAATAATAAATATTGACATTGACAGAACCCAAATAGTGTGTTCTAATCAATAACCTACGAATCTACTTCATGTGGGGAATTTCGAATCAGTTAGTCTCTATGTTAAATTTTGAATATAGAGTTGAATGAGAGACGATTAAACAAGGACAAAGTGGTAAAGTCGCCTAAGATTGGTATAATCACATTTATATATATATATATATATATATATTGTAAATGCGCTTTCGTGTATACGGAATGTATGCTGTAGTCAAAAACAAGCTGAAAGAATGAAGTACAGATGATGACTGTAACGCATGACATGGACTAATGCAAGTTTTACTAGTGCCCGCTCACTTGATGAATAGCGAGCGGGCAGTGCTATGAGTCAAATAAGTAAGCATCAGTAATTTTGAGTGAAACTGAAATGTTTTATGCACCTGCACCATTGTCCAACCACCTTCAATGTTACAATACTTTTTAATATTACTATTTTGAAAATAGGCAAACCTCCGTCGACGACTACTTCCGCTGTAATGACGTGAGTCTCGCCTATCCCTATCATCACGGTCGCGTTCGCGTCGTGGTGATCGCCTATAAAAAGTATGGATAGTAGTAATAGACAACAGGCAACGTAAGCAAAAATGATCAAAATCTTCTTATAAAACAAAGAAACTTGCCGTCTCTCTGAAAACCTTGAACCAGAATCAAGCCCTCTCTCTCTACGCTCTCTTCGACGCTCTTCTATGTTTTCCTAAAGACAAAATAATATGAAACAAATAGTCACGGAATCATAAAATGGCCTAACAGCATAAAAAAAAACATTCCAAAAAAATTCAATATCAGTATCATAGAGACTCATGTCAGCCTGAGATCGTAGTGCGTGCGAGATGAGTTTAATCCAGGACGTCAGGCCTGCGAAATCGTCACCCGAAGAGCATCCGTTCATCGCAGCGGTCAAGAGTGCTCACCCACTCGCTAAAACCAAGCTGCCCCGATCCATGGGCGATACATACAGATAGAAAGACAATTTTAACCATTTGTTTTGCATCTTAAGATTACTAATAGGATCGCTAACGGAGTGTTCAAACAGAAACCCACGACAATTGTCAAACGCAACGGCAACAACGCGGTATTTAGGCGCGACGTAATACGACCTTAAAAAGGCCACGATGAGTTGTTCGCCGTTCAAACATGGAAATAATTTCTGCCATAGTTGAGGGACGGAATGACATTATTACGATCATAAGAGTCACAGTTATTCACATAATCACAAAAGTATTAGAGAATACTCGTTATAATAGTACTCAAGCAATGTCCAAAGTCATTTCAATAAAGAAATCAATATGATAGAGATAGAAGGAATTCACTGAAATAGGCAGAGATGACGTCACCACCGACAGTTGTTTAATGAGAAAAAGTTGATAACAAGAAATAATTTTTTGAAATACCCATGAATACGAAACACCACAAAGGCTGGAGCTGAATACATCACACAGGTCACCACAGAGGACCGAAGGACGAAGAGAAAAGAATTCGTTCTACCCCAGAACTCTAAAATTCAAAACAAACAAGTAATACAACACCTTAAAATCAAGACCAGGAGAGAATGAAGTCATTAAGGTGTTAATCTGATTTAGTTCACTTTATAGCTTGTATACAATTATAGTATGCCACGAAACCTGTTGATCTGAATTTAAAAAGTGGTAGAGGAGACCAGATCTTATTACTGATCCCAACACTTCACTTCTTTTTTTGTTCACTTTGCCCACAAACTGGTTCTACTATGCATTTTGGATAAAGTCAATAGCCACAATGGTACTGAACGGTAATGGTATATTTTCAAAACTTCGGACTGAAGGTGTCTGCACTGGGAAGCGAACGCGTATTACCCTCTCCGGAGGCAAACGCGTTCACCATCACACCACCATGCGGATCCTTCGTTTCGCCTGTCTCTCAGCTAGTTCTATCGATCACTTGCCATCAGCAATCACCCGTCAGTGGGATTGCTACGGAGAGCCGAAATCGGCAGTGAACCCAGTTAAGGTAAGGCTGCAGTCAATATCAAAAATCGATATCCTCCTCACCAAAGGTATATTAAACGTCACGCCTGAAACTATTCTCTACAAGTTACTAAAACAATCTTCCTCTGCGAATTTGCTTGTGTACATGACTGACTTCTGCACCAATACACGAATACAGAGGTTGCTGTTCATGGGGAGCGTATCAGAGATACTTCCGATCGTAGTATTTGCAATCGGCCTTACCACAAAAATTAAGTGTAAAAAATCTACGCGTTCATAAAAAATTCACTGATTACGTTTGTCGCACACCATGGCCTTGCGATCATCATAGGTCAATTTTACTCCTCACAACCTTACTACACAAGCGTTGTAAAAGTCGCCCACAAGAAAAACTATTTCGCAGCCTGCCCTCCACAGTTAGCACTTCTCACACACAATCTTTACAATTAGTATTACAATCTATACATTATGTAGGAGTTAGTGGAACAATTTAAACAGAAACGTTTGTTGCTTCAGATGATTAATCTACTTAGTAATTACCAACAGATCAACAGTAATAACATTCCAAGAACACTTTGCAATAACTAAAATATTACCTCAATTTTTTTTCTTGTCACATAGCGCCTTCCGCGACATAGCCAAATGGAGGTGTAGGCTTTTATCTAGTGGACGGACCAAACCAGGATGAACTTTAACAACGCATCCGATAGAGCAAATCCCGGTTCTCACTTTCGATTAACCTCAGCACAAATCAAGAAGTTACTGTTTTCTTGATGAGCGGACAAAAGGTCGCTACAACACTTTTACTCACTTATAATAACCGATGTTCCCTCGGTTTCGCCTTCTTTAGGAACTGTAAAGGTCGAATTGACACGCAAGCAAACACCTTTGTAACATCAGCGAAGAAAAACGTTCTTTAAGCAGCAAGATTCCCACAGTGAAGTAGGCAAAATATTCGCATATATTCTGAGGAAACTCTCAAAATCAACCATTACCGCGAGAAAAGTTGGTTCTGGCTTCACAGCGAAAAAATGTGGTGCGCCACAGTTTCGAAAACTGATTTTAAAAAACCAAGAAATACTAGGCTATCAGTTGGTGACAAAGGTGGAAAGTTTGTAGCAAACCAATGTCTGTTAGATGTTGAGATAAAGGGAAAACATCTTTAAGACATTCACCTTTATGGGCCATCATCTGAAGAGGTATTGAGAATTCGATAGCGAAAACTGAACATGGAGTGATAGGTCAAAGTGGCAAATGCGCCAGATTTAAAACCATAAGTTATTTCACAACTTTAAATTGATATGTATTCTTTCTTGATAAGCTTACACAAGGTTGATAAATATATTTATTTTCGGCTAACGTTTCGACGTCTTCGTCTTCCTCAGAGCCGGTGATCCGAGTCGATGGTC